ATATATATATATATATATATATATATATATATATATATATATATATACACACAGTATATATATATATATATATATTTTTTTTTTGTGTAGCTGGGACCTTGAGTACACAATTTTGTTCCACCTCATGTACCACATGTGATGCGAATGACAATAGAACCTTGAACCTATATTCAGGCTTTGATAAACCGATAATGACCCAGTAATTTGTAATGTGTTATTTCTGTGCCTAATTTCACTTCATGCTCTGATACATGAAGCCCTAATAAATTCACTTTACACCAAAAAAAAAAAAAAAAAAAAAGAAGAAATTCAAAAACTTGGAGTTGCTTCTTGAAATTTATGAAATGTAAATCTGAATTTGTTAAAGTCACCCTCAGGAGAACAACTACTTTTTTAAAATTTAACTATTGAACAAGGATTTTTTTACAACATTTGTTCAACTGCATACTTGATACATTACTAATAAAAACTACCTACAGAAAAAAAAAAACAACACATTTTATCCTGGCTTCTAAAGCCGAAAACAGAAAGCAAACTTACACAGCTGTTGTTGAACTCATTTGGTCGTTCCAGATTATCTTCTGCGATGTTTTGCTCCCTGCAGACACGAAAGGGTCAAAGCGTCCCTCACTGTTAATGTTAACATGAAGGTCATTTATTGCCACTAATTTAGTGCAAATTAAACATTTGGATTAAATGATCTTCACAATATTTGTATTTTTCTTAGTTGCGCTTGATGTCAAAATCTGAAGTACCTGGGGATCATTTTGGAAGTGATGCTGTAATTTGGCTGGGAGGCCTCCAGCTCTGAAGTTTCCACACTTTGATTTATTGTTTTCTTGCTGCTGAATATGACAGAAAGTTTATTTAGAGGCATTACATTAGTGCAAGTTAAACATTTGTACTTAATATTTTGCTAAATTTCTGTATTTTCCTCAGCTATGCTTGACATTAACGGTAAAGTCTTTAGTACCTGGGCATCATTTTGGAACCGAGGCTGTGATGAAGCTGCAAGGGCTCCAGCTCTGAAGTTTCCTGACTGTTGCTCCGCTTCACTGGCTTCTTGAAGCTGAGCAAGCTGCTGCTCCTTTTCACGACCACAGGACCAGGTCCATCTGGAGAACTAATCCAAGAGACCCAAGACAAACATCACGCTAATGATCCAGCTTTATATATATTAAAATCCCACTCAATCCAGATTAATGAACGCGTGCACAGGGGCGATTCTAAAATCTGACATTTAGGGGCGCTCAGCCCCCAGTGCTGTCATGGCTCTTGGCTTGAACAACATGGTGACCATTGGTGTCAGAAGCATTCATAATGTGTGTGTGTGTGATGGTGGTGGGGGGAACGACACACTGGTGGGGGATCTGGGGGTCCTCCCTCAGAAAATTTTGAAGTACCGGTAGATGCCATTTCTGCATTCTGGTGTATTTTAGCAGGTTGTTAAACATCTATGTTTACCTACATAAGTAAACACTTGATTCAGTAACTACCTTAGAGAGCTCAGCACAACAAGAAGTAGCGCTAAGCTAGCGGCGTGCAATACACACGCGCTAGCTGAGATGCTACAGACATAGTACTCTGCTTTACATTACTCCACCTAATAAACGCCTTGTACAAAATCAGCTTAGTGTTAACTGATCATAACAAACAAAGACTAAACTTATGCAACCAGAAGTTGCAACGTATATCTACATCTAAAACACAAAACAAAGCACAACTAGCTTTAAGCATTCATTTAACTCTTAAGCATACAATGTAATTACAACAGAAACTGGAGGATTTACTTGAAGTTACTTTTATACAGATGAACATGTGGTACTTCCTGTTTATAGCTGTTGCTCATGAGGTCAGCTGCAGAGCTTTATCCATCTTTTACATTTTTCCAGACTCAGTTTAGGTCTTGGAAATGGAATAAACTGTACTCCACTCTCTAAATCAGGGCTATTGAACTAAACTGCTCAGGGGGCCACAGTTTCTGAAAGCCAGCAGCTCAGTGGCCGGACATATACTGTAGTCACTATGTAAATAAACCAAATACTACAACGATCTGTTACCTTTTAAATTTGTTTATTTTGTTGCATTGAATCATAAATGCAATAAACAGAACCCCAAATCCAGAACCGCCCCAAAAAAAGATTTTTATTTTTTTTACTTTACTGTTTAGGGGTGCTGAGTTAAAATTTAGGGGTGCTTGAGCACCCCCCATAAAAAGGCCAAAATCACCACTATCTATCTATGGGAGCTTGAGTGAATTTACTGGGGTTCAGGTGAAAGCAGCTCCAGCATGCTGCTAGTAATTACTTTACTTCCCTTTCAATGATGTTTCAGGTGAACCCTTTTCCACAGAAAAGCTATTTTTAAAGCTCATTCACATGTTATCTGTCATCAGCAAAAACTGTGTTGAGCTCAACAGGAGGGATGATTGAGCACTATTTTTGTCAGTCTAGTCTAGATTATAGTTGTACATGAAAATGACTGTTTGATTGTGTTCTACAAGGAGCGATTGAGTTAATGTCAAGCTGTCTCTGTGCAACAACAACCCAGACCTCTGGAGCATGGTTTCACTTTTATTAACCACACACCACAGAGTCAGGCCACATGCGTCATAAATAATCTATTTATTATCATGAGAGGGAGACTTTATGAAAAAAAACCACCAACATCCTTAAAGAGAATAAAGCACAGCTTTTAAAATAAACAGGTAAAAAAGTACAAACAGTAAAAGACTCATACTCACACGTCCTGTGACGATTTCCTGTTTTTCAAACTCATGATGATGAATAAACTCAACAAACTTAAACACAAAGCTATCACTCACAGTCCTACGTCCAGCTAATGCCTTAATCTCTTAGGCCCATGAAGTTGTTACGTATGGTCCGTCTATCTTCTTTCCTGTGAACAGAAAAACAGGTGGAAAAACATTTAAAGATAGACAGCTCACCTTGATAGTACCTGTAAGTAGTCGGCCAATCAGCTGTAAGAGGCAGGGATTGTTTACTTTGAAGGAACCAATCAGTGATGAAAGAGTGCTTGTTTCTGGGAATTGTTGCTTCTGTAGGCAGGACTACCTGTTTGAAAGCGCACCATTAAAGCAACACCTGGGCATACTCCCGCAGGTATGAAGGGAGAGTCAGGCTGTCATGCAACCTGTTCGGCCTGCTGCACAGATAGACATCAGACAGACAGGATGATGGAGGGAACAATGGCAAAACGTGATTCAGCGTTTTCCATTCAAATGGTTTACTCATGTTTGATTCTGTAATTATCCTGTGATTATGTCCTGTTTACAAAATGTGCAGGATTTCATTGAGTCGCTTCTTTTTTGTGTTTTAGTTGTTAAAATGCATTGTTTCCTCTGGGGTTTGCCACCGTTCATTTCACTATTGTCAAGGAGTTATCTAATAAAGAGTCTAAATAATTCCCAACACAGAAGCAGCTTGTGGAAATTCAGTTTGATTTGATGGTTAAACCAACGTTTTCTGTGCTTCGTAATGTCTTTAACTTGATCCTCTACAACGGGGTTTTAATTTTGTTTTGTGTGAAAACGTGAAGGGAACATATTTTTGTAAATCTGTTTTGTTAGTTGACAGATAATTAAGGAATGTGAAGCAAGTTCAGCAATAAATCAGATAAAGTTGTTTTTTCTTGTTTACAGCGTGTGCACCTGTTGATCTGCAACGTGCAGGACAGAAGCAGGTTGATCAGATGGAGGATGGTTTTAAGTGTTTGAGCAGGTATGCCAACGTCAAACTTTTCACTTCTAACCAGGAAGTTTTCTTAACTGAAAAAAATAAACAAATCAGTGGCGCCATCAGAAATGTGTTTATAGGGGACCAAAAGCCATTAAATAATTTCAGATATTATTATGCTGTTGTTGTAAAATGGCAATTTGAAAACTTTAATAACACAAGACTTAGGGAGTTGCCAACTTATGAAGCTTAGTTTCTTATTCCATAGGTAGTATTACTGATTATGTGATGTGTAGAGACCAAAACAGATAGCATGTAGAGTTTCACATTGGTCCAGTTTTAATGTGTTATGTAGTTTTACTTATACATACAAATCAATGTCCAAAACTGAGAATAAAAGGGACAAAAACAAGCACAATCATGAACTATATGTATTTACACTTGGATTTAATTTGCATTACATTAATTCACTTTTCCAGGCCACATTAGTTTCAGAAAATCACTATTATACCTCAACGTACTGAAGCTTGCCCTCACCTAAATCTGAATAAATAATAAAAACATTATACATATATATTTTTTACTTCTTTCGGCTGCTCCCTTCCTGAGGCGTTGCCACGGAAACTAACTTGCACAAAGACTTGGCGATTGTTTTTACACCGGATGCCGCTTCTGAAGCAACCACAGACCACCAAGCTACCACAGCCCTCTTTGTGGAGCAGAGAGCTGCCATCCAGGGCACCTGGGGGAGCAGACGGTGGGGGCTGAGGGCCTTGGTCAAGGGAGCAGAGTGGGACAAATGAGGGTGGAGGCAGGTGAGGCTGCTTCATCTTTCCCACCCACATTTTGATGTTGTCAGTCCGGGGAGTCGAACCGGTGACCTTCAGATCATAGGCCCACCCTCTCCAACCTCTGTGTCACCACTCCCCTTATGCACATAACCTCCTGAAACCCTGCAGCAGGGGAAGCAGATTTTAAGTTGTATAATTGCTCTTTTAAAAAGGCGAGAGAGAGAGAGAGAGGGGCGGGGTGGGGGTGCCTAAATTTTACTGTATGTCCTGAGCATATGATCGTAATTGACCATAAAAAATCTTTGAATCTTTAAATCAAGAACAATGTTTATTTTTATGTTTTTATGTTTATTGATCCTAAATAGAAGAAATTCAAAATGCACAGCAAGCTAAAGATTGTGACTTAAGAGGATTAAAAGTGTCGGTCAAAGGGGGCTTGTTGGCAAATGCAAAGGCCACGGTCCATTCAGGGTTGCCGCAGTCAACACAAACTTACAGTGCTCAGTGTGTAAAAAGAACACAAAATAAGGGTATTGCAATTATCAAATATGACTCAGAACAAGTTCAGCCTCAAGGTTGAGCTACTTAAGACTGAAGAAATCTTTCGGATGAAAGACGAAACGTTTCAACATTGTTTTGTTTTTGTTTTTTGAACGTCCAGAGGACCTGACTTAACTTTTTTCGATTTTTCTACCTGGATTAAAGAGCATGCATCAGGATATGTTGAGCTACTTAGTTTCTTGTGTGAGTGTTTGTAAATTAACTGTGAAAGTTACCAAACTGCATAGGGGGCACCTCCTGAAATCTTGCCCATAGGGTGTCAAATTGACTAGGACCGGCACTGTTCATGCCCATGGTGCTCAGTTGCATGTTAATTACTGAAAAATGTTAAAACATTTAAAAACTAATTGTTCTAGAATAAAGGTAAAGGATGAGAAGGAGAGGGTAGCTCAGTATTTAGCAAAAAATAAGTTAGTGTCATTATTTGTAAATGCACGTGTTTGAAGCTTAATTAATATATTACTATTTATTTGTCTTTTATATGTCTATTCTTATTGTAAAATGGCACCTTTGGCATCTATAATATGCAGATAATTCAGGCTATAAACTGTTTATTTTATTAACTCACATTTTCTACAGTTCAAGTCAGTCCCAGCATTGTCAGATAATTATACCATTATGAGTCACGCAATGTCGTGACATACCTCACAATACGTGTCCCTAGGTGTGAGAGAGAGTGTGAATTGTCGTCTCATGTGTCCCTTTGATGGACTGGAGACCTGTCCAGGGTGTCCCCGTCTCTTGCACAGTGATAGCTGGACATGAGCACCAGTGACCCCTGCGACACGAAAAGGAAGAAGCGGGTAAAAGATAATGGATGGATGGAAAAGCTAAACAATACATTGTTATTGAAAGTGATTCAACGAATCTAACCACTTTTATGTTTAAATAACTAGCTGCTCTTTGATACCCAGAGCAATTTATTCCTCATGTCTGCTTTTCAAGCTTTAGGTGTCGACAGCCACAGATAGAACTGCCGCCTGTGATGGTTGTCTTCAGCAGTTTGTCTCTTTTTGTTAAAGAGATGCAGAAGATACTTCTGTAAATTGGACACAAACATCCACTTGGCTTCCTAGATGGAATGACAAGAATGTCATTATAATGTTCTTCTTTCTGGCCTAAACAAGAGATTGTAATACACACAAGACTGGACATACATAAATCATGAAACTACATGTGAAACGTTTAACTTTACTGTGACGTTAGACTGTTAAACTCCAGTTTCTGATCATAAATCTAAAATTAACTCTGACTGGAACACAGGGAAGGTAGAGAAGTATACATACAGTATACAGTAACTGAGCCATTGATTTCCTGAAAGTATTCAAGGAAATGTCAGAACGATGGGTTTAGAAAATAAAGGTTTACAATTCCTTGAAGAGATACATGTCACTTGTTGCTTTTCACACCAAAGTTTAAACTAAATATCATTCAACCTTTATTTATACAGGTAATCCCATTGAGCCTCGAGGACTCATTTACAAGAGAGACCTGATTTCAACAAAGAAAGATGAAACAATGGACAACAGCAACAACAATAAACAATTATAAAAAGTCATACTGCAGGTTTTTTTTTTTTTTTTTTTTTACAAATTAATTAATTTATATGTTGAGAAATCAATATGGCACAGTCTCATACGACATAACCAAATAACATGCTCTATGTACGTGATGGGAATAACTGTCATCTACTACCACGTGAAGTTTTCACTCAAATTTCGTGAAACTGACTGAGCTGCAGCCACTTTTGTTTTGTTGGCTAATGTTTAGCTGTGAACTGAGTTACCTTCATTCCATTATAAATGTCCTTCTAATGATTATTTTCAGAACGTTTTATTACAATTTATCCAGTTTGTTATGAGTTATTTTGCTAACAGAAAGAATTTCCTTTAATAATCGATGGCAATTTAAACAAAGATATTGTTAGTGCTCTGAATCGGTGTTGGGGATCAGTCTCAGCTACCACCAAACCACAGCTTATGTCAGTATCTGTAAAACTGACTGGCTTACAGCTTATTAGGGTCAGTTGGCTGTGGCAGCCATTTTGGATTGTATCAAATCCAAAAGTGTATTAGTTGTAGATGTATAGCCGGTGATTATATTCTGCAAGTTTTATAATAAATGAAAATTCCATCTAGTTCATGGGATATTTAGGTAACAGATACACAAGTCCAGGACATCCTTGTAAAAGAGACTGATGATCTCATTGGATTTCTTCCTAGTAAAATAAAGTAATAAAACCAATAATTAAAAAAAGCATTTGCACACACACAGAGACAGAAACCTAACCTTCTCCTTTCGACTGCATGCTATAAACATTAGTAAGAAGAAAACCTACAATGCTTATCTTCTTACCAGCAGAAACTGCTGTTAGAGGAAAGTGTTGCATGTCTTTCCTGTGTGAAAGTAGTGAAACAGGTGATGTCATGTGAGTCCAATACTAGTGATGATGGTTTCTCACAAATGGGCGTGTTCCTGGCCTCCAACACACACTGTCACTGGTGCAGGAGGCAACATTCCTGCTGTCACTGTCTCTTTTGAATACACAAACAGGAAGTTTCTAAGAAAAGTAATATGACATACAATGGAACATGTTTCCATCATTCACTGCCAAGAAGGAAGCAGCATGTTACTGTGACCCAAATGTTTTTGTTCAAAAGATTTAAACATCTTCTAATTTAATCTTCTTCTTTCAGTTTTTCACTCTTCAGGGGTTTCCACAGCGAGTCATCCTCCTCCATCGCACTCTGTCCATCTCCAACTACCTCCATGTCCTCTCTAAACGCATCCAAATACTGTATCACCTCTTTGTCCTTTTCCTGGCAGCAGCATTTCTAACATCCTTCTACCAATATACTCACCGTTCCTCCTCTGGACATGTCCAAACCATCTCAGTCTGGTCTCTCTAACTTTATCTCCCAGTTGTTCAACCTGTGCTGTACCTTTGATGATTTCATTCCTAATCTAATCCATCCTTGTGTACATAATTTCAGCCCACCTCATGTACCTACTTGAACTTATCTCTTCCAAGGAGAAACTCAGCATCTTCATTTCTGCAACTTACAGTTCTGTCTCCTGTCTTTTTGTCAATGTCGCTCTTTTCAGACCATAGCTGGTTTCACCACTGTCTTGTAAACTTTTCTTTTGACCTTTGCTGACACTCTTTTGTTACAAATCACACCTAAAACATTTGTCCATCGACTTCATGCGGCCTAAACTTTCTTCTTCACATCTATCACACTCCTTGTTTTCCTGGACGGTGGACCTCAAGTAGTTGAAGTACTACCTCCACCTACCTAACCATCATCATCAACTGTTAGTCGGTCCATCACCAGAGAAAACAAGAAGGGGCTCAGAGCCGATCCTTGATGCACTCCCACCTCCACCTTGAAGCTGTTTGTCACTCCTACAGCACATCCCACCGCTGTCCTGCTGTCTTCATACATGTCCTGTACCAGTCTAACCAGTCTACTTCGCTACCAAAAAAGTTATTTTGGACTTTGGTTGTCCAGTCCTGTACCTGAACATGACAGCACTTTGTGCAAAATGAAGCAACAGGACAAGTAAAGACCCAGAAATGTAAAGAACTGTATACACGAGGCGATGCACTTGGTACCCTGCTTCTTGCACAGTGACTGCTGGATGTGAGCACCAGTGACCCTTATGACCTCACGAAAGAGCAAGCCTGTAAAGATGATGGATGGATGGATATCTACATCAGATTAACTGTATCTGAAAATCATGTTTTTAAGAAACAAGAAAAAAAAAATCAGCAAAGACCTGAGAAACGTATCATCCTTCAGCTGAACTGTATGTCATGTTTTCAGCTCTTTTGGAAATCACATTGTTCCAAAATACTATTTATCGTGTCAAACTGGTATTTGATACTTTTCTTTTAGACTAAGGTAAACTAAGGAAATATGGGGCATATTGTATTTTTGTGACATGCTGCTGCTAACAAAGTGTCCAAACATCTAATTTAAAGGAAGTTTATTCCTAAGTTGTCTGATATGAATGACAGACCACTGATTAATTTCTTGAATTTAGGAGCCATTGTTTTACTTGATAAATATAAATGGTAGAATAAAGTGGCTTTGCAAACATTTCTCTGAAAATGATGGTCATCTACTGGGCTGAAAATAAACGACAAAAGCAGCAAAATTACAAAATACAAACATACAAAGGTCAAGCGCTCCTTGGAGGATTGGACATCGCCTGTTGCTTTTTATGAGTCTTAAACTCAGATTATATTATGTTGAGAAATGACTGTGTTGTAGTCATTTTGGTCAAACCCTTAAAATAATGTTGTTCACTATCTATGCAATATTGTAAAACGTCACAACCAGAGTGTGTTGTGAAGGAGTCTCAGCTACTTCCACATTAAGCTTTAGCCCAATATTTATAAAATGCACTGAGGTATACACATTCTTGTGGTTGCTAATGTCAAATAGCTGCTGGCTGAGGTGAACATCTTGAAAATTAGAACATTTTGAACGGTTGTAGATGCAGTGGTTCATGAGATATCTTTGGAACAAACAGTAGCACACAGTGCATGTCTGCAGCTTGATTCATTTAAATGCGACAAGATTTCACAAGAGACGACTGAAGCTCTTTTTTTTAATAATAAACAACCGTGATAGGGTTTCCCTAAAGTCTTTAGATTTATGCACAATATAACTTTTCTTATATATATGTCAACAATTTGCAGAATTTCTGCTCTCGTGCAAACAACAGCTTACCATCTTATCTTTATATCAACTATCTCCTTTAGACAAAAGCACAGCAGCTGTTGACTGACTGTCCAAAAAAGATATTCAAATCAGATCCAAGAATGCATATTTCTTTTTTTTATATATTTTTTGTTTTAGCAGAACTGAAAGCAACTTGACTCTGTATCTTCAAACTATCAGAAAGACATTTCAGGAGTTCTCTGAGTTCAGGGAAGGGACATAATCATTGAATGTAATCAAAGCAAGCCGTGGCCACCTAGTGGACATAAAGAGAACTACACATACACAAAGAATTGGAACCACTCAGTTTGCTGTATATCCAATCATTTTGCTTTTAATACAAATTCAAGATACAATATCTACATCTATGGTTGGAAAGGAAAGAACAAGTACATAAGTGAGGGGTATGGCATCATCAGAGCTGGCCCTCAACACATTGTAAGATTATGTTTCATGTGCGCGCCTCTTTATATTTCTCTTGACACAATAATCATCAGAAATCGAAGGAGTAACATATTTCATTATATGTCGAACATCGTCAAGACTTCAGGACCACACAAAGAGTTCATATGACAATAGTTTCAGATTGAAAACAAAAACCTTTGAGGGTGTATAAAGTGTCTCTAGACAATGCTTCAGCTTTCTCTCACAAAAATACACCTGCTACCATAATGTGCTTTCACTTAGCAAACTAAACACCAGCAGCTCTTCAGGAGGAATTTCACTGGTAATTCTGCTCTAGGTATCTAAAATATCGGATGCCCTTGAACTCACCGCAGAGAGAGGAGGTGGAACGGGCTTCTGCCAACATCGTCCCACGGCTGCAGTGGGTAGAATGAGGAGGGAGGCGGGGGTCAAAAGGGCACACTGCGAACTCAGAATAGCTCTGCCTCTAATGTACATCTTTAGCTAACTAGTTAGACATCAGTAATTAGTATCAAATAGCACCCTACACAGAGGGCATACTTTATCATGACAAAGCAAATAAAAAAGCACCAAAACAGACCAATAATAAAATTAATAATAATAAAAACAAACAGTGTCAATATCATACTTTACCGCTGGCGCGCCATTGAGCTATCAATTTTTCCTAATTCGTTATATAATTAATAGAAATACCCCCCCCCCCCCCCAAAATAAAAGAAAACAAATGTAAAAATAACAAAATAGAATCATAAATATCTTTTAAAAAATCATACGAAATAAATATAACAAAGTGAGCGGAAACAATAAGGCTTTTTTCTTTTTTGCAACAGTAAGAACTACATCACATCCAGCCCAGTCTTGTGCTCAGATTTAAAGATAGGACTCCAATCATATAGATTGTATGTACAAAACTGATCAACTGGCCCGAGATGTCTTAAGCTGCGACGCCACTGTGCTCATTAATCACTGCAATCAGATTTATATTTTAAATTAGGATAAACGATATACACCAAAAGGAATAAAGAAATGTTTTGTTCAACAGTGGAAAAGGCAAAAGGACCGGTCTAAATTTGAAGGATTTCTTATGTTTCATTGCGTTAAATAGTAAAAAAAAAAAAACTATGGATTTAACTGCAAAGTGGTGCAATTCAAGTAGGACATCTTTAGCAGAGGAAGAATAAATGACCATGACACAACTTTCATCCTCAGCTAAAGATCATGAACAAATAAAAGTTGAGCACACAATGCATAAGAATTAGGCAGCGTGTTAAGAATAGCAGAAAACGAGAGAAAGAGAAAAAAAAAAAAGCATCCAAATAAGGCAAAAATAAAACGACAAAATGGTCCGAGAGCTCGGAGAGAAACGTAGAGCTCGTTTCTTTTGTTAGCGTCTCTTTCAGTAAGCCACTGCTGATTTGACACAATGGGACGGACACCAAGAGGAACCAAGGTGGAGGATGAACGAGGACGACAGCAAAAAGAGCAAGCAACTTCCGTCAATGAAGAAGGGACTTCAAATCTCAGCCCGGTTCAGGACCTGTGCTGTTCTACGCGAGGACACAATCGAGGCGTTTGAGCTCGCGCTGAAGCTTCATACGCTGGATACGAAAAGGGAGCCGTCTCTCCTTGGAGGCCGCAGTTCTGCATGGTTTCGTCTTGGCACTGTGCATCGGGTAAATGAGCGTCCATGTGCTTCTTCAACAGTCCTCCGGGTGCTTCTGCTTCTGACTGTGATCAGAGCTACCTGTAGTCGCAGTAAGACCCCAGGAATAGACTCACAGACACAGAAATGTCCACTCTGTAACTCCTTTAGAACATCAAACTAATAGATATAAAGTTGAGGATAAAAAGCCCATTTAGGGTGCAGCAAATATCCAGGCTCTTTGTGTTTTTTTTTTTCTTAAATCTTTTTCGGTATTTTACACACATAGAGTATCGGAACTCCTGTTCAGAAGTCGTTTGTATTTCACTGGTTCATACTGGAGATAGCTGACCACAACACACATGTATTATACGTCCTTCACACTGGAACACTGAGGTAAGTATATGGATTACACATGGACCGCCTCCTCGCCCGTCAGGGAAACTATCGAGGAGCGTTGGAGTGCCGTTGGAGATTTTTTTGTTGCTGTTTTTTGTTGCTTGTTGGCGTCGAGTTGCTCTTTAAAGTCTGCTTCCGTAAAATGCTCGAGTTGTTGCGTTCACACCACCTTTCTCTCGCGGCGCTTGTTGGTTCGGACCTCGAAGCAGAAAGATGGTTGCATGGTTGTGTCTTCTCTTATGTTGCATAGTGATCGAAGCTACCCAGGTACTCCAGAGCAGCCTGGTAACAGAACTGGTACTCATCCTGAGGGAAGGGCAGAGGAACAACACAAGTAAATACATGCTTGTACACTTGGGACAGTCAGAAACAGACTGCGTGCAGCTACAACACTAACCTGTGCTTGTTAGTTATTATGGAAAAGTAGGCTTCATATTGGGAGGGTTACGCCTTATAATGGGAATAAAATAACTGTGACGGTGCAAAACAAGAACAGACCATTTTTTAAATGCTTGCAAAACTTAAAAGTCCAATATTCCTTGAGGTAATACATATTACCCGCTGCCTTTCACGCCAGAAATTTAAATAAAAACCATTTTATACTAAATTATACCGTTTTATAATTCTTATGTCTTCAAATTTTTTTATTTTTAACAATCAGAAGGTTGAAGTTATTGTGTTTAGCCCCCTAGCTTTACTGCCGTCTCTGATCCTGTAAACCTTGACCCCCTGGAGCCATGTCTTGAGCAGTCCGTCACAAATCTCAGGATGGTTTTAGACTCTGATTTTAGTTTAATAAACAAATTAACTCCATTCTGCAGAAAAGTTTCATCCAGTTAAGGCAGATAACTAAGCTTACGTCCGTATTGACCAGGTCTGACCTTGAAAAACTAGTCCATGGCTTCATTACAACCCGACTTGATTACTGTAACACGCTTCATGTTGGGGTCAGTCAGGTGTCCCTTTCACGTCTCCAGCTCATCCAAAACGCTGCAGCTCGGCTCTTAACAGGAACTCGCAGGTTTGAACACATTTCACCAGTTTTGTCCTCCCTTCACTGGCTCCCTGTGTGTGTCAGAATTGATTTTAAAATTCTCCTATTGACCTTTAAGTGCTTTAATGGCCTTATACCCCCATACCTCTCTGACCTTCTTCAACCAGATGTTCCTTCTTGGGCGCTGAGATCATCTGACCAGCTGCTTTTGGTTGTACCAAAAACCAGGTTGAAGCTCAGAGGAGATCGTACGTTTTCAGTTGTGGGCACTAAACTTTGTAATAATCTGCCCATCAACATAGACAGGGCACTTAAGCCCCTGCTTTTAAAGCTTTCTTTAAAACACAACTGTATTCACTGACGTTTAACAGTGTGATTTGATTTAGTATTTCATTGTTTCTCATTGTATATTTTTAATTTGTGATGCTTTTAATTACATCTTATTTATTCTTTAACTACTGATATGATCTTACTGTTAAGCGCTTTGGTCACAGCTGCTGTTTTAAATGTGCTTTATGAATACATTTGACTTGACTTTATGACACATGCACGTGCACGTACACACAGAGGGGCACAAACTTTATCGCAACACCTTATTTTCAGGTGATAAAGCTCAGCAATAAGCATTCAAACATGTCTGACACGACTGCTGGTGACAAACACACTGCTGGACGGAAAAGTAACAAAGTATGAAAAGACATTTTAAAAAAATTCTCAGGATTGAGTTGACATAATAGTCTTCTATGTCCCCTCCATACTGTTGTTTGCTGCAGGTAACATGCTGACTATTAAGAGCAGTGCAACATAAACATTCATCCATTATCTTTATCCGCTTCTTCCCTTTTGGGTCGTTAGGGTCTCTGGTGCCCATGTCCAGCAGTCACTGTGTGAGAGGCAGGGGACACCCTGGACAGGTCTCCAGTCCATCACAGGGACACATAGAGACAAGCAACCATTCACTCTCTCACTCACACCTAGGGACAATTTAGAGTTACCAATCAGCCTAACATACATGTTTTTTTGTCTGTGGGAGGAAACCAGAGTACCCGGAGAAAACCCACGCATGCACGGAGAGAACATGCAAACTCCATCCAAAAAGACCCCCAGTCCGGGATTTGAACTGAGGCAACCTGCTCGCTGAGAGGCAGCAGCTCTCCGAACTGAGCCACCATGCTGTCCTCAACATCAACAAGAAATCTTAACCACAACAACCAAATGTGTTGTTTTAAAAAAAATCTTCAAATCCTTAAAAGTTTTCTGGAAAACAACATTTAATTTCACAGCCTTCATATAAAATTAGAACTGTAACTTGCAGCCTACGTCTTCATGTTTATCATTCGTTTTTAAATTATAAGTTAATGCTTTTTATAAATGCTGCTATTGTACTGTAGTTCTGATACGAGTGGTAAAAGTGGTTCTGATCAATATTGTAACAGGCTCATATCTTTAAAATGATTACTTTATTTTCGAGGGTTTCATTTAATTTATTTATTTATCTTCAGATTTGGCAGTCTTTTTATCTTGCAGTAAATTAGAAATTATTGTTGTCAGCACACATCTGTTTCTAATTAGTTTTCTTTATCTCTGAATAAGTTTAATTGAAATTTTCATGGATTTTGATTTAAAACATATCTCATCAGTTAACGTGGTGCTAAGAAGAAAGATAAACATTTTCCAAGGACCTGATGATGAATCTCTCTAATGATGTGCGATCTTTGCTAAATTATTTGTATATTTCCTAATAAATACAACATTCAGATCTTGTTCATCTGCTGTAAATAGTTTTAAGGTCTAACACTTTTCTTTAGATCCATTTGTCACCTTTACACAAACTTAAAAGCACTTTGCACATCTGGATTAGATGCAAAATCCTTGAGTTTAAAGACCTTATAGTTGAATGAATTATGTACCGATGTTAAGTGGCTTCATCACCAAATTCAGAAAGAAATTAAAATACCGTATTTTCCGGCATATAAGTTGCTCCGGAGTTTAAGTCGCATAAATCAAAAAAAGCATCATGAAGAGGAAAAAAACATTTACAAGTCGATTCGACGAATAAGTCACATTTATTATGTGTCACCGCAGACCCGTTGTGTTTATTTAAGGGTCAAAACAGCTTCATTTGGCCTGGACATCCATCCATCCATCCATCCATAAATCCATCCATCCATCCATCCATCCATCCATCCATCCATCCACCCACCCATCCATCCATCCATCCATCCACCCATCTACCCACCCACCCACCCACCCACCCACCCACATATCCATCCATCCACCCATCCATCCATCCATCCATCCATCCATCCATCCATCCATCCATCCATCCATCCATCCACCCACCCATCCATCCATCCATCCATCCATCCATCCATCCATCCATCCATCCATCCATCCATCCATCCATCCATCCATCCATCCATCCATCCATCCACCCATCCACCTATCCACCCA